CCTCAGCATGGCCGGAGAAGCTGTGCTTCAGTGCACGCCCGGGATCCGAACCCGGGCCGCACAGCAGAGCTCGCGCACTTAACCGCTAAGCCACGGGGCCGGCCCTGTGCATTTTTAATATCCCATGAGGCAGGAGCATCCAGACATGATTGTTGTTTTCATTAGTGTTCTGGTTACAGAGTTGAACAGGTTTTGAGGGTCCTGCTCCAGTCATATTTTTCCCATGAGTCCTGTTATTTTAATGGGCTGTTTTGCCAAATGTGAGGCTTTTCAGGGATGCAGATGCATCTACCCTGTCACATCTGAAATGCTTACCCTGGGTGGACTGAGGGTTGCAGGAGTGGGTGGCGTCATGATCAGTGAAGACTGGATTTCTCTCCTCCTTTCACTCAGGGATGATGGCCCCTCTTCCTCTGTCTCCGCGCTCAAGCGCCTGGAGCGCAGTCAGTGGACGGATAAGATGGATTTGCGGTTTGGTTTTGAGAGACTCAAGGAGCCTGGTGAGAAGACAGGCTGGCTTATCAACATGCACCCTGTAAGCACCTGGGCTTGTCTTCTGTCCTCTTCCCACTCAGGATGGCAGCTGCACCCCTTGTTCTGACATAGCCCTTGTCTGAAGAGTGGGTGACACCTGGCAGGAACCTGTTTGGGTGATACAGGTAGAGATGGGATTGTTTGTAGCTCTCCTGCTTTCCTCTTTAACATCATTGGGCCATAAAGAGGCCACTGGGAAGACTAAGGTGAGGGGTGTCCCTGTTACCCATAAGAATAAAGCTTTCAAGGATGAGGGAGAAATTGAGAGAAATCCCTGTCTGGAGGCTGTTATGATGTGGTTCTTGTGAATGGAGCTGGTACTGTTTATGCAGGGGTGGGGAAAGGTTTTCTTTTTAGAGTGCTCCATTTCCCAAAGAGTCAGAGGAAAGGGCTCTTGTACTGTGTAGAGGGTAACTTGGTGCCATGTTGACTGATTCTCTCTTAGACTGAGGTTCTAGATGAAGATAAACGCTTGGTCAGTGCAGTGGATTACTACTTTATTCAAGATGACGGGAGCAGATTTAAGGTAAGCCCCTGAACTCCAAGAAGCTAACACCTACTCGGTGATGTGGCGTGGCTGGGCCCAAAATAATCAGTGTTCATTTGTCTCTGCAACTATGAAGAGAAAGGTTGGGAGGCTTCTAGTGTGCAGCTGCCCAAAGGCCATGGGGAACATGGGCCCCTTGAAGTGGCGTTAGTCCCCACTTAAGATGTCCTAAGAGAAGCTAGCTCAGAAAGACTGAAAGATGAGCGGTGTTATGTTTCTTAGACTCTTGCCCCTGCAATATGCACAGTTCCTAATTTCCTGTTGCACCATCTCCCTTAAGAGATGTCAAGGTCAAGGATGCATTTGATCTAGGGTGCTTACAGGTAGAACAGCAAACAGCCTGTCTTCACTTTTCTCCCATTTTTCTTTCTTGTTGCCCCTGGATGGATTGGTGACTCTTGCAGGTGGCCTTGCCCTACAAGCCATATTTCTACATTGCAACCAGAAAGGTAAGTCTGTGGTTCATAGAATCACATGACCTGTGCCTCATCCTGTGGGGGCTCCAGAACAGGAAATCAAGAGGCTTCTAGAGAAACAAGCAAGGAAAGAAATGGATTTTACTGACGGAAAGTCCTTTCATTCTGATCCTGATTTAGGGTTGTGAGCGAGAAGTTTCATCTTTTCTCTCCAAGAAGTTTCAGGGTAAAATTGCTAAAGTAGAGACTGTCCCCAAAGAGGATCTGGATTTGGTGAGTATCACCTGGACCTTCCAGGGTAAATGAGGCCGAGTCCACCCTGCCCATGGGGTGAGGTGGGAAGAGGCCAAATTCAGCACTGTGGGTGTGGGGCAGTACAGATGCTGGGGCTTTGGGACTGTCCGTACGTCCTCTTAGAGAACACGCAGGATTGGGCAAGGTGCTTTGGAGTTGCTGACTCTTTGATTTGTGCATTTACCTTTGGGTTTCTCTCGTTTGATTTCCCAGTAAAGTCCTTTTTCTCTTGAACTCATGAGCACGATCTCTTCACTGTAGCCAAATCACTTGGTGGGTTTGAAGCGAAATTACATTAAGCTGTCCTTCAACACCGTGGAGGACCTTGTCAGAGTGAGGAAGGAGATCTCCCCTGCCGTGAAGAAGAATCGGGAGCAGGGCCGTGCCAGCGACACCTACACAGCCATGCTCTCCAGGTCAGCTTCGTTCTCATAAGCAGAGCAGGACTGCTCCCCATCTTTCCTAAGTTGACAACATGGCTAGGAGGTGGGAAAACTCATCAATAAAGTTACCTTAATGATCAGCTTTGTTTGATGTGGAAACACTTGAGCAATTAGGTAGAGTTTCTTGAATGCTCCATTTGTGTTAAATAAATGGTGGCTTCCCAGGTTGTGTTTTATTTTACATTTTCACTGTCCTTTTCTTACATAGGGGGTGGATTTGTGGCTCCAAATTGAGTTGCTGTAACAGTAAAGACATAGAGTCCTGATCCCACAACCTTAACACAAGTCTGTTTTCATGGTTTATGGCAAGTGTTAAACTGTCTACTAATTTTATTAAATGCCTAGATTTACGTAGCACATCTTCTCCAGAGAACTTTGGGTTTTATACAGAAAAATTTAAATTCAGGACACCAAACACTGTTCATCAAGTGTTTAGGCATCAACAGTAATAGGAGGGGCCAGCCTCGTGGCTTAGCGGTTAAGTGCGCGTGCTCGGCTGCTGGCGGCCTGGGTTCGGATCCCGGGTGCGCACTGACACACCACTTGTCAGGCCATGCTGTGGCGGGGTCCCACATGAAGTGGAGGAAGATTGGCACGGATGTTAGCTCAGGGCCAGTCTTCCTCAGCAAAAAGAGGAGGATTGGCATGGATGTTAGCTCAGGGCTGATCTCCCTCACAAAAAAACACACCAAAAAACAGTAATAGGAAACAGAGTAAGAGATTAAGAAGAGGGAATCTTGGCTAATTAAAAGTTATGTTGACTTCAGAAGAACTATCATATTCTCTGGCAAAAGAATATCAATTTGTGATGGCTGAACATTTCTGTAGCCTCCCTCCCCCTATGGCCCATAAATTACTTTTCAGAGTGTATTGCAAGATATAACCAGAGACTGAGTCCCCAGAGGCCTGAGCCTTCTAAATTCAGTCTGTCCTTTTTTTCCGTTAATAGTTGATTCAGTATTTGGAAGCTTAGTGGACTAATATTGAGTGAATATTCTAGTGGTGGTTTTTTCCCCCTTGGATATGATAAGAATAACTACGATACAGAAATAGTTACCATTTACCATTCATTTCACCATGCCGAGAGTTTTGTGGCTGTTACCTCACGATGCTCCTGCTGGTAGGCCTGTTACTGTCATCCTCATTTTCTTGATGAAACAAGCTCAACCAGGATGGGTCATGTCTGTAGATGTGCCTCCCAAGTCACAGAGTGTTTCCTTCTTTTAATTGTGGTGTAACTTGAATCCTAGAAAACGCACACATCCTAAGTGTATGCTGAATTTTCTTGTGTCTGCTCCTCAGCTAGGGGGGTCCTCCAAGGTCATTCCTTAAGAAAGGCCTGTCCTGGTCATCTGAGCCACCTCAATGTACCTTTTGTGTTTACTCCGTTTGGACTCTAGTCTTCCCCTCCTCTAGCCCCTAGCAGAGTGTAGTTGAGAACCTGCTCTCTCTCTCCATTTTGCAGTGTTCTGCAAGGAGGCAGTGTGATTATCGATGAAGAGGAAACCTCTAAGAAGATCGCTGACCAATTGGACAATATTGTGGACATGCGAGAGTATGATGTGCCCTACCACATCCGCCTCTCCATTGACCTGAAGATCCATGTGGTGAGTGGCCCATCGCTTACAGGCAATTCCTAACAGCCAGGAGGTGATATTGAAGGATAAATCCGTAGAGAAACAGACTGCCCTGGACAGAAGTCAAGTTCTTTAGTTAATGTACTACATGTCCTGCAGGCTCATTGGTACAATGTCAGATACCGAGGAAACGCCTTTCCAGTGGAAATTGCCCGCCGGGATGACCTTGTTGAACGACCCGTAAGTACTGCTTGCATTTCCTCCATCCTGAATTTCCACTTTTTTCTGGAGAGATCTAATTCAGTGCTGAAAGGGGAATTTAATTCAACGATTTGTTTGCTTTTTCGTCAAATACTTTCTTAAAAGAATTATGGAGTAGTCACTTTTATCATCAGTTACTGACCTGAGAGTTTAATTTCACTTTGCATCTATACATCACCACGTGACATCAGTATTTGAGCTAGGCTGGATCTGAATGTTTGAGGGAAAGCTCTGACTTCCATTTTGGGTGGTTGATAACAAAGTGATGTGAAAAATGGTTCATAACTGGAAGGCCTTGGTTCAAGGATGGCTTTGTGATCTTGGGAAAATCTCTACTCCATTTTCTCGTTTCTAAAATGAAGATACTGGCTCTGTACTGCAATCTCCTGTCAGGATTGTCATCAAGGTCAAAATGAGGTAATGCATCTTAAAGAGCTTTGAGACTCAGGTGTTCTGTAATTCTAGGCTTTTCCTAGAATCAGCTGCTCTAGCCTTTTCTCGTACATGTTTTAATTTTCATACCATCAGTGAATCGTGGTATTGACATAGGTTTGTCAACCCCAAGATACCTGTCCCACTTCTTTTGGAACCTTTTCCCATGGCAGCTTGACTCTTGCTTTTAGCAACTGGAGTTGGAGGTGGAGGTGGTGGGTGTCGAGAGGACCACTGAGGTCTCCAGATCTCAGCTTTGTTTGTGGCCAACTTAACACTACGTTTTGTCCCTCCAGGACCCTGTGGTTTTGGCATTTGACATTGAGACGACCAAACTGCCCCTCAAGTTTCCTGATGCTGAGACTGACCAGATTATGATGATTTCCTATATGATTGATGGTCAGGTAAGCAGTGCCTTCTGGCATATAAGCTCCCTAGGAACAGGGACATCATCTAGTCCCCAAGCCAAAATAGCATCCACCCCACAATTGGTATTTCTTGGGTAAATAATGAGTGAGTGGAGTCCAAGAAAGTGAACAAGCAAGCTGTTTTGACATCCAGCCATGCTCCTGCCTTCCAATAGAAATCCGAGACATTTGGGATTTAAGTAGTGTGTCTCTTCTTAGGAAACTAGGGCACCTTCAAGTTGCTGCAGAGATTTTTTTTTTTTTTTTAAGATTTTATTTATTTTATTTTTCCCCCCAAAGCCCCAGTGGATAGTTGTGTGTTGTAGCTGCACATCCTTCTAGTTGCTGTATGTGGGACTCGGCCTCAGGATGAATGGAGAAGTGGTGCCTCGATGCGCACCCGGGATCCGAACCCGGGCCACCAGCATCGCAGCGCGCGCACTTAACCACCAAGCCACAGGGCCGGCCCCGCTGCAGAGATTTTTGTAGTTCGAGTTTCTGGTCCATGTGTTGAGAGGTGTATCTTCAACGTTGTGTCTCTAACTCACGCTGACTGCTAATGAACTTCCCAGGGCTACCTCATCACCAACAGGGAGATTGTTTCAGAAGATATTGAAGATTTCGAGTTCACTCCCAAGCCAGAATATGAGGGGCCCTTTTGTGTCTTCAATGAACCCGATGAGGTAAAGAGGTGTCACTTGGGAAACTGCCCAATATTTGGGGTAAAATGGGAATAAGAGGCATGTTGACACTTTTAAGGCCTTGGCGTTTATCTAATCAGAACAGCAGCTCACTGGACTTGGTTGTCAGTGGTGTGGTCCTTGTTCACTTGGAGGCATGGGTAGGAGGTGGAAATAAAGGGCTGACGTGAGGTTGCCTTTCCTGAACTTTGGGAGAGGTACTTGGAAATAGCTTGAGGAAGAGAAAAAGCGACTGACTGCTATGATTTGTTGAGTTCAGGTTCATCTCATCCAAAGATGGTTTGAACATGTCCAGGAGACCAAACCCACCATTGTGGTCACCTACAACGGGGATTTTTTTGACTGGTGAGTCTTATGTCTAATTTGTGAGTAACTAAAAAGTGTTCAGGAGGGGATGTTGCACGACAATGTGAGTATACTTAACACTACTGAACTGTACACTTAGAAACAGTTAAGATGGAAGGAAAAGGTGTTTGGGGGAAGGGGATGAGGAGCACCACTTGGTGGCGTGAGTGGGCTCCTCACTCCGTTAGGATTTCCCAGGTTTGCTCGAGTGTCCCCTGGGGGCAGTCTTCCTTGTCTCTGACGGAATTAGAGACTAAATGCCCCTTTGTGCTTGTCCCTAGGCCGTTTGTGGAGGCCAGAGCAGCGGTCCACGGACTGAGCATGTACCAGGAAATAGGATTCCAGAAGGACAGCCAGGGGGAGTACAAGGCGTCCCAGTGCATCCACATGGACTGTCTCAGGTAGGCCCTGCAGCTTACCCGGAAGCTCATATTAGTGTCTCAAGGGCTTCCTGTGAGGGAGATCCAAGGCTCCCCTCTCACACACGCTGGTCCTGTCACACCCTCTTGAGGGAGGAAGATGGCCTCTGAGAAGCAGCTCCCATCACTTGAGAGGACAGCAGCTGCCAGCTCTGGCCAGATCTAGGGATGTGCTGTCTTTCATCGTTTCTTCATGATTCATTCAGTCAGCAAACAGATGTTGAGCATCGGCCCTTGGGGTGGGTAAGCCAGACCAGAAAGAAAGGCCTGGTAGAGTGAGGTCCTGGTGCTTCGGGGGCTCCTGGAGGGGCCTCAGCTTCTCTACATGAGGTTGGGAGGCGGCAGCCAGGCTATCTCTCAAAGGACAAGCACAGTGTCCAGACAGGCTGAGGTGTCTAGGCTCAGGATAAGCATGTGAGGTAGCCCAAAGTGTCCAAAGGGAGCACCAGGAGAGGAAGGAGGTCTCATGGGCCTTCTGTGCCCTGTGAGAAAGGTGGGTTTTATCTTGGCCATCACGGACAGCCATCGACACATTTAAAGCTTGATCCATTTTCTGTTTAGCCTTGGTGTTATGGCACGTGGGTTGGAGGGTGCAGGCCGAGTCGTAATGTGAATGGGTGAAGAGAGGGCTGGACATGGGAATCTATGGATTGGGGAGGAGGGGCGCATGAGGCACGGGGAATGCTGGTTCTCAGGGTTTGGGATGGGCTCCTGAGGGGTAGGGCAGAGCTCACATTCAAGGTAGAAGCAGACTTGGCAGCCCCATCCACGTGGATGATCCAGAGACCATGAGGCACAGCAACGTGGTAAGAACTGTGGTAGTGGATGGACTCGAGAAGAGGAGTAAAAAGGAAAGAGGTGGGGGCCCTCAAGGGAGGTGGCGATGCCAGGGAGGCCACAGCGGGGCATTTCTAGGGGAGAGGATGGCCAGTAGCGTAGAGAGGTTGAAGGGGGTGAGACTGGACGCAGCCAGTAGGAAGCTACAGGTCTCAGGGAGACAGTGGTGTCAGTGGTGAGGAGGAAGTGGAGAGGGGCACAGGGTTGAGGGGCATGAAGTGGCCTTGAGTGTTTCCATGCTGAAAGGACTGTGTAAGGAGAGTAGAGGAGTTTGACAACGGGCCTGAGGGGAGAGCAGGGCGACCCCAGCAGCACCAAAGGGACAAGCTGCGGAGGGGTCTGGGAGAGGCTGGAGGGTGTGGGTTCCTGCCCGCTCACCTTTGTATTTCTCTGAGGGTGAGAGGGAAGGCCACAGGGCTGAGAAGACTGGCTCTGGCATCTCCTAGTGTTTGGGGGTACATCTGTGAAATTAACTGGATCTGGGTGAAAGGTTTTCACAAGAGGCCTGCGGCATGCAGGGTCTTGGTGGAGATCCTTGAGGTACCTGTTAGGACTCTGTGTCTTCCTGTGATATGTTCAGCTTTGCCCCCCCACGGGTTCCTGGGCTTCATGTTGGAATCACCTCTGGCCTTTGCTCTCAATCTTCTTCCTAGGTGGGTGAAGAGGGATAGTTACCTTCCTGTGGGCAGCCATAACCTCAAGGCAGCTGCCAAAGCCAAGCTGGGCTACGACCCCGTGGAGCTGGACCCTGAGGACATGTGCCGGATGGCCACCGAGCAGCCCCAGGCATGTGCACCACCTCCGTGCATTCACCTTCCGCTCTGGTGCAGTGCTCACTGGGTGCCTTGTTGACCTGACTTACTGATTCTCTCCTCAGACTCTGGCCACGTACTCGGTGTCGGATGCCGTAGCCACGTACTACCTGTACATGAAGTACGTCCACCCCTTTATATTTGCCCTGTGCACCATTATCCCCATGGAGCCTGATGAGGTCAGTGTCTCGCTTGGCCCCTCAAACCATTCTCAACACACTACCTAACGGATCGGGTCCCGGACAGCCAAGGCGGATGCGGCTGTGGGATTTTGGTGTTTGATTCAAAGCCTGGCTCTTCCCTGTAGGTGCTGCGGAAGGGCTCCGGGACACTGTGCGAGGCGTTGCTGATGGTGCAGGCGTTCCACGCCAACATCATCTTCCCCAACAAACAGGAGCAGGAGTTCAACAAGCTGACAGACGATGGCCACGTACTGGACGCTGAGACCTATGTGGGCGGCCATGTGGAGGCTCTCGAGTCAGGCGTGTTCCGCAGTGACATCCCCTGCCGGTTCAGGATGGTGCGCCCCTCCCAGCTTTCCTGAGGCTTGGGCCTCTTCCCATCGAGTGCTGGGGTGGGACCCCGAAGCCACAAGGGCTGAAGTAAATCCTTTGCCCACTTCTCGCCTTGAGGGCCCCTCACTGGACGTCCTTTGTCTGGCCTGCCCTTATCTAGGGCACTGCAGGGCAAGCACTTGGTTCCTCCTGGAGCATTCTCTCTGCAGCCTCCTAACTGAGGTAGGTTGGGTGGTACCAGGGTGTTTTCCCATCTCACCCGTGTCCTCTCTATCATTTGCACTAGAATCCTGCTGCCTTTGATTTCCTGCTGCAGCGGGTGGAGAAGACCATGCGTCATGCCATTGAGGAAGAGGAGAAGGTGCCCATGGAGCAAGTCACCAACTTTCAAGAGGTAACACTCGGCAGGGAGGCGGGAGAAGCCGTCTGTTCACATGCTCTGCTTTATAGACTGGCTTCTTTCAGTAGCAGGTTTATTATGTGCCTACTGCGTGCTGGTGCTTGGGCACGGGGATAGAAGACACAGGGTCTCTTCCGGTCTGGTCTGGCAGGACAGGGCAGTGTCGTGGTCACGATGAATGACCCGACTTAGTGAGTAGGAGAGTTTCGCAGAGGAGGCGATGGGCTCCTGAGCTGGCTCTTGGAACAGGTGGTGGGCTGATATGGGATGGAGAAAGGCAGGCGACGGGTCTCACGCCCAGTTCACTTGGACTTTATTTTGTAGGCAGTGAGGAGCCACTGGAGGCTTCTTATTTATTTTTTGTTGTTAAGGAGACTTTAAAAATGATGACAGTTGGGGGTGGGCCCGGTGGAGCAAGCAGTTAAGTGCACGCGCTCCGCTGCGGCGGCCTGGGGTTCGCCGGTTCGGATCCCGGGCGCACACCGACGCACTGCTTGGCAAGCCATGCTGTGGCGGTGTCCCATATAAAGTGGAGGAAGATGGGCACGGATGTTAGCCCAGGGGCAGTCTTCCTCAGCAAAAAAGAGGAGGATTGGCAGATGTTAGCACAGGGCCGATCTTTCTCACAAAAATAAATAAATAAATAAAAAATAAAAATGATGACAGTAAATTTCTGCATATTACAGAGTAGGATATAGTGACTATAAAATCCATCAAATAATAGTTAGAAAGCGCCATTTACAAAGTGTTCCCATGACTGGAGACCCCAGGCACCTCCCACTTTGCTGGTTCTGTTCCTTTGGACGTGGCACACCTCGGGTCTCGCACTACTCAATACTACAGCATATTCAGTGATTCTAGTGGTTTGGAGTTTTTACCAGTTTTAGGATTGATTTCAAGAAACATCTTGTAGCAGATTCACTATTCTCTGCAAACTGTAAAGTACTGTGCAGCTCTTGCCAGCTACAGCTATCATATACTCTCAATGAACCAACCTGGGAAGAAGAGAGTCTAGGCTGAATAACAAATATGAGTTAAAGAATGCTTTACAAGGAACAAAGATATTGCTTTCAAGTCTAAGAAACAACTAAATGAGTGAGGAGAGTGAGGCTGATGCTCATCAGGGGCCTCCAGACGCCTTAGTGAATCCAGAAGTGAGCTCTTTCTAGATGACAGGTAGATCTCTTGTTAGGTGTTTCCAAAGTCCCTGAGAGTATTCCCTAAAGGGCAGCTGAGGATCTTTAGGAAAAGGTCCACAGGGTCACCTTTGTGTTCCTGAGTGATCATCCCGGCAGTGGTGTGGAGCACGGCTAGTTGGAGGTGTCAGCTGGGGGCTCACAGCAACATCTGACATGTCCAGGTGTAGTCCCCCCATCCGAACTTAGCTTTTTAGTCATCCCAGCCTTCCTCCCTTCTTGCTTGGACCTTCTCGTCTTCCCTCCCTAAGCAGTATTTTAGAACATGCCTTAGAGCGGAGAAGGATAGAGTGATTGTTCTCTTAATGATTAATTCAATGAGAAATAATAAGTATTACGTTTCTGGTGTGTCCTGTTCTGTATGATAGATATTATTTCTTTTAATCATTTTTTCCTTACAAATTTGGGTGTGTTTTTTATTTTCACTACTTTGGAGGGTTTTATGGAATTTTTTAATACCAAGGGCAATTTTGCATTGAAGTGATTTTCTAATCTGACTTTACCAAATTTAATGTATTTATTAAAAAAAGATGGCCAGGGGCCGGCCCGGTGGCGCAAGCGGTTAAGTGCGCGCACTCCGCTGCGGCGGCCCGGGGTTCGCTGGTTCGGATCCCGGGCGCGCACCGACG